TGGCTGTTTCTAGGGGTTTTCTGTTCGCGTTGTCTCCTAACGGCTTTAATGTGCTCTCTGGTCGTTAAACAGACATCATCCCATCCCAGCAGGAGCTCTCTCATCAAGTTACAGATACTCAGTAAAGGGTATTTTGCTTGCAGAAGCAATGTTTTGCAAGAATTATTAAAGTTACAGTTTTATCTCATTAACCCTTACCTTATACTTTTAGAGCAGATTTCCCCACTACTTAAAACCATTCCAAACCCATACTGCTCAGTCGTACAGTCATCAAGCACTGGTTTTACCGGTGACTAGTGTTCCATTATACTTGTTCAGACAGTGGCCGTATTCCAAACGCCCACCCAAACCCCAAAGAAAGTAAAAAAAGGCACATAAACATTAAATATTTGTAGGAGAAACATAATCTGATATAAACAAGCACACAGCTGCAACTATAAATTACAAACAGAAACACAGAAACTAAGCAAAAAATGCAAAAAGCAACTCTATTTATACATGTGCAAATCAACTTGCATATATGAAATAAATGAGGTTTCTATTGGCATTTTTAAACAGTGTGTATTTACCAACTTTACCTTTCAAAGGCAAGCCTTTTATGTTAATTTTAATAAATATGTAAATGCTTCTCTCAAGTTTTCTAATCTCGTAGGAACAAGATTTTTGAAAAAACTAGGTCACATACAAAAATACAAAATTTTAAAACAAAGAATGTCTTGATATGAGAGATATGTTTAACAGCTTGTAAAATGTTTTTATATTCAACTTTTGACGTTTTTTCCCCATCAATCGCCGATCAATATATTCAAATGCAAGTCATGCAAAAACCTGATTTCTGAGTAAAGGAAGCTGCAAGCTTTACTGTCAGATTGAAAACCAGTAGCACAGTCCCATCTCCACTATCTTGGTTTAAGTGCAATAATTGGACTACACCTTTATTCTTTAATTAGGAAGGAAAATAGTTATAGAACTTGGACAGAAGGCTTCCCTTTATCCTGAAATGTTGATATATATTACACATTTTAGTAAATGATTCAAACTTTTAAATAGTCCCACATGGATTTGCCTGAGTGCTTACCTGCGGAAGGATTCACTTATCAGTGCACGAACAACCACTGCTACGTGACGGGGGATCGGGTTTAGTGAGTCACGTTTACAACGTTTATGCACTCACAGTTCCCATATGATAGTCTCCTTTTACAGAAATTTAGACTGAAGCTGTATTTCATAGAAGTAATATTTCTTCTGAAAAGAAAGTTTAGAATTAATAATAGAGGCCTACCAAATTATAGGTCTCGATTCTTTTTTCTTTAAGTTTAATGAGTCTTCTCTCTAGATTTCAGTGGAAATGGGATCAGACCCAACCGATTCTGAAGCCACTGCAGATGTTCTGGCCCTGGCTGAAACGCAAGCGGCGTTGGTGTTTGCCCTTTCGTTCTTGCCGGTACGTGGCAATTCAGTTCCGTAGACTGGAAAGAAACAGTGCTACAGCGTGAAAAAACCAGAGCTTATAGTAGACTTTCCCTGCTGTGGTAAAGGCAAACTTAGCATTGAGCAAAGCACTAGACCAGAAAAACTTACACTAACAAATACCAAAACCCTCCCATCTTTAAAGGTTTAGAGGCAAAATTAAACGCGGTATGCTGTGTGGACTATACAGTGGGGGGGGGGAAGAAGCAAATATGTATTTACAGCAAAGAATTACACTACAGCAAAAACTATGTGTTTTGCATTCTTTAAGTGCACACATACAAATCTTTGTTTCTGACGTAATTCTGTGATATCTCATTCCAAACTAAATTCCTGCCTGAAGAACCTCAGGCTGAACAGGTAAAGGCAAATTCTGCTGTTGCCTTTACTTTCAGGGGTAAGCGTATATATTTTAATACGCGGGATTTTCCAATTGCACAAATATGCACAGGTATGCAGGGAATATTTTATATAAATACAAAAAGAATTGTTACACCTGCTCAGACCCATTTCCAATCCTCCTCCCCCAGCTTTTCCAGGGTATTAAAAGTATTGCAAACTACATTTGTGCTGACTGAAGCAAACGCTGAGCTACGGTAGCAGTAAGGATTTTCATACTAGTTCGTGTTTGTTTTCTTTTCACACAAAAAATTTGCCTCCCATTATAGAACCCAGCTGTTCTGTTTCTGGAAAATTACTCTAAAATACAGCAGATTTTATCATCATCACAACCCAGTTACTGGTGACCCTGCTGTTCAGCAGCTCCCACGTATCCTGTTTGGATCCTCAGCAGTCCCTCAGGATTAAGCTCCTGTGTAGTCCCCAGCAACGCTATGAAGTGTTACAGGGTAACGCCGTCAGGAGTGCTGAGGCAGGAAACAAAAAAACTTGAAAAAGCCAATTCATTGCTTTTCAACTAAAACTTTAAATATATACCGTTCTGTTCTCTTGTCTTGAGAATTTATCCAAGATTAAATAGCATTTCCCTTGCTTGGTCTTTGGTAGGTCAAGAGACACATCAATATTCACACACAGATAATGAATGCCAGTTACAAGAAACACCTGAACCAACCAGAAATAGCCAAGAAAGGAAAATTTAAAATATCTATGCCTTTCACTATTACCTGCTAATGGTTGTTAATCTTTACCAAAAAAACCCCTTCACGCTGATTTTTTTTCCAGTATGATCAGAGCACGTCCAAATTGTAAACCTGCAGATTATGACTGCTTTCACAATATACTGCATATATCGCTAATCTTAGCATATCATTTCCTGACTACAAATGGTGCTGTCAAGCATGCCACCTTCTGCTGAAAATAACAAAAATTACCTCTATAAAAAGAAGGCCGTTTAGAAGATTTAACTTGCTGCTCTAAAAAAATGAAGTTTGATTTGAATTCCAAACTCTTGTTTTTTTTCTAAATTTGTAACTGGTGTGCCTGCTAAAGAAAAAAAAAAAACCCACCCACAAACAACAAAACAAAAAAAAAAAAAAAAAAAAAAAAAAAAAAAAAAAAACCCACCCACCCCCCCTAAAACAGAAAAACAATCAAAGAACCCACGAGATTGATCAATGCTTTTCTTAGCAGTTGTTTGTCTCCTCTTATTTGCTCTTCAGAAAAAATTTCTCTTTAAAAACCTAGCTAGTTATGAAGACATTTTACATTTCTACCATACAATAATTATAGTTAGCTTAGTTTAACCTTTCTATGTCATTCAGCAACACTTTAACTACTGGAAGCCGCAGCAAACAGGCTCTAACGATAATATTGCTCCAATGATGCTGAATACTTTTTGCTTCACACAGTATTTCTAGTAGACAGACTACAACAGAAGCATGGGCAAATTCCAAGGATTACTCTCTAAATGGGACCAGTAAACTGTGACAAGTCCAGTCCGAAAACGGCGTATGTTTTTGTAGCTTTTCCACGCTGAAGAATGCCACAGCCCTCGTCAGCTGTCGAGTCACCCGGACGATGTGTCACACGCTGGCAACTGCCCGTTTGCGCAGTCACCATACTCTCCGTTTAGACTGCTCTGATGCAGCAGCTGTGACGCAGACAATACCTGGTTGTATACAACGATTAAAAAAAAAAAAAAGAACAAAAAAAAAAAACCTGGGCCCAGATAACCCAATATCAGGGTACAGAGCTATCTTGTGATTCCGAGTTCTTGTGAAGTGAACCACTTTAGAGCCATTCAAGCTAAAGCAGTACCCAAAACAGTGCACCTAGAATAAAATGTTAGTCCTCCCTCCCCTGCACCCCCCTCCCTCAAGCACACTTTTTTCAATTTTCTACTGGAATGAAGTTGAGATCCTTTAGCTAACCATGATGGGAGATGTCCTAACTCATTAAAAAAATAGAAAACACTTCACCCGAACAACAACAAAAAAAAGTTTGATGGGTCTGGGAATTTTCTACAGACTATTCTGTGCAGTCATCTTCAAATCACTGTAGAACACGAAACTCATTTCTCTTCGCAAACAGATGAAGGAATCTGAAGAGTTACACTGCAAATGTTCTTATAGGAAAAAAAGATCAGTTTAGCTGTTTATTACGAATCCCTCCTCTCTTAGTAGACAACTCTGCCCAGCAATAATAGCTCTGCCTGCAGCGAAAAACCTGGACAAAAGTGCAGGAAGTAATAAGTAGCTCCTCTCAAAACTACTTACGTTTTGTCCTCAACTCAAAAGAAGCCCTGCTGCTGCTATAGGCAGTCTTTACAAAGCGCAACCTGTCCCTTAATATAGTCTCTGCAGGGGCAGATTCTTCTGTGGGTTGGGTGGGATCCGGCACAGCTGAACAGTAAGAGGTCGCCTTGGAAAACACAGTGCTTCCTTCTTCCGTCAAACGAGGGGACCAGAATATCATTTGCAGACTCCATGGTCAGACATTCAATATTATGCCTAAAAAGCAAAGCACATGATCTAGCTCGCAGTGGAGTTTACAGGAGTTTGGTACAGTTTTCATCCTTCCTCGCTAAAAACAAAATAAAATGCTGTATTACATCTGAAATCAAGCACATCTAGAATTGCAGATTTCCAGAATGACTCTCGTTTCTTTTTGCCTGCGCAGATCCTCTCTGCAGAGGGCAGTGCAGCCTTTCCAGCTTTACTCCGTCTCCTAAAGACTAGTGAAAGAAGTCAAAAAAGAAAAAAATGCTTTTGACGGTTCCCCAAAGCATAGTATTTGAACACGCCATGGATTTCTAGTAAGACAAACCCAAGGAAGCTGGTATCAGGAGATACCCTCGTGGGTTTCAGCAGGGCCGCTCCCCAGGGAAGCCGCCCCGGGCAGCGCAAGGTGCGCTCAGCCGAGCGCGAGGATGAGGCGATGCTGCTGTGTTACCGCAGAAGCTGGACAGAGAGGGAACCAGCTAGTGCTAGCTAGCTGAAAAAAGAATGATTCGAGTTGCCATTTTCTGACCACAAAGCTTAAGCATGAGGGTAGCAATTCCAGCAGAGGCTTGTTTTTCACTTATTCTGGAAGCACTGATAGCTTTCAGCGTTTAACAGATTCCCCCCCCGAATTATAATTTTGTCTAGACAGCTAGAAAAGAAGCCTGACAAAGTTTTTACATGAGCTACCTCTGAACTCCACTGGAAATGACAACTTTTCAAACAAAATACAAAAATAAAAACCTTCTACAATTTAATTTAGCAAAAAGTGGGGACAGAAAACCTAGGAAGCAGATTCCCTAGCAGCCATTTGTTGGAGCCCAGCTTTGAGTGCTTTGTTTTCATTCTGAAAGGAACGCAGACATATTCCCAAAGAGACAGCACCTGAAAGCAACATTAATTTCCTTAATGCATAGCTGGTTAGCTTTATAAATTAGTACCAATACCTCTAATGTACCAGGATTTACGGTTCTTTACCTAGGACAATACCGACAAAAGGCTTGCAGAAACAGTAGCTGCTAATTGCCAAGGAATAGTGATGTTTCAATTACGGATGTTAATCATGACCAAAGAGGGAGCTCAATAGAGAAAAGCAACACTTTACAAGTGCTGTTTTTAAAATCATGTGAACAACTGACAGAAATCATGCAATGCGTACAGAGTTCTATTTCCTATGACAAAATGCATTTCGTTTCTGACCCAGCTGACTGAGCACAGCCAGGATTAGCGTTAAGAGTCCTGCAAGTTCCCTAGCTCTCCGAAGGATATGGCAAAAGCTATGGAATAGTGCACCCGCCCAGCCAGGGCTGCAAAGGGTCCATCCAAACACAGTTACAGTTCTGGCATCCGCGATCCCTGCAGCACAAGCTCAGTGCAAGCAACCCAACACCAAAGGGCACTGTACGGTGCATGCACATAGGAGATGGAGGGGGGAAGGAAGAGATGTAAATTTTTGGCCTCGGTGCTGTACTCCTCGCTGCAAAAACACGTGCTACGTGGAATGGTGCTCTCAACGCAGCAGTAGCTTCTACCAGGCACTGCTACGAAGGACCGACAGCTAACCTCACAGCTTGCCGCTGCCAAACAGGCAGTACTTCTCTCCCCACCTTCCCTTCTCACAGAACTCGTACGCTAAACTTCACGTGTGGCAAAAACCGGTGCAATAAAATGAGACCAAATAATACATTCGTGCTTTTAAGTACTTACCTAAGCAGAGCTTTGTCCTTGTTAAGATGCTGGAAGAAAGAAGGCTCACAGATGAGCTGGCTTTCCTGACAAACTTGCTTACAGGATTTTCCTGGTTCAGCAATTTTTACTTGAAGGGCACTTAATGGGGGCCACATCACCTGCCCGTGACAGAAATCCTGCAGTGACAGATCATATTTTATTATAATGCATCCAGTCCCTCGCTAGCAGTTTTCTCCATTCATAAATTAAGTGGTTACTATCACCCAAACGCTCATTGTGCAACTCATTTTGGTTGTATTAAGATCAATAATTTGAGTACAATTAAAAAGAATTTTTTTTTTTTTTTAGCATGAGGGAATTATCACCTTTGTTTGCTACTTGAAATGTGGTAGTATCATTCTTCCCAAAGAAGCTTCTTCCCTAACTTTACCTTTACCTTTTTTAATATATCATAAAGCAACTCCAGATACTCTACTTCCACATACGCAGCTCCTTTTGGGCTTTCTCAGTGACTCCTGTTTCTCTAACTCACTGCTAGCAGAACTATTTTCGTAACAGCACAAATATCAGGAGCAAGTTCTGGTAGGAGAATTCCAGAGGCTAGTTACCCTGCAGGCAAGAAATGTCTGACGTGGCCCACGTGGAGAGCCATCTGGAAAGGATCACGGGACTCGCAGCGCTATGGAGTGAGCGGAACTCATAAAAGACTGAAGAGTTCTATAAAGCAACCAGGATTCAAAGAGTTTGTTTGCTCTTCGTGGTTGAACTGCTAGTAAAAGTGCTCTCCCAAAACTGATAAAAACGTGGCTATAAATAATGCATGCAGTCAAGCGTCACCACAGCGGAAAGAGGGAGGGAAGAAACAATACCTAAACACACTTGCTAGCAAAAACCATTCAAAGACAAGTTCTTACGGTCTTGACAGGTAAAATGAAAAAAGTAAAGAGAAAATTTTATTCACTGGTTTTATATAACATTCCATGATACTCAGCCACATTATTTTAACATTTGGCAACTCCCACCAAAAGGTGATCAAAAAATTTGGGCCCAGTCCATCATGGTTTGCTTTCTCCTGACAAAACAGGTCCCAAACCGTGACCCAAAGCTTAGAAAGGCTGAACTACTTGACGTTCTAATGCAGCTAAGACCCCAAATCATTTACCAGTTCTCACTATCAGTTTGGTGTTTTTTTTTTTACTCTGTTTAGCTTTCCTCTGCTGAAGGAGTAAGTTTTCATACTCCCAGGTCTAACCATAAATTTAGTATTATACAATCATGAATCACAGAATATCCTGAGCTGGAAGGGACCCAGGAAGATCACAGAGCCCAACTCCTGACTCCACACAAGGCAACCTAAAAGCTAAACCATGTATCTAAGAGTGTTGTCCAAACGCTTCTTGAACACTGACAGGCTTGGGGCCATGACCACTTCCGCGGGGAGCTTGTTCCAGTGCTTGACCACCCTCTCAGTGAAGAAGTTTTTCCCAATATCCATTCTGAACTTCCCCTGATGCAGCTCTAAGCCATTCCCCTCGTGCCATATTCGAACAGAATGAGTAATTTTAGAGCATATTTAAGGCAGAATAATTTTAACAGCATCTAACAAACCAGGTTAAAAATAGATGGTTGGAGGTCCTTTTTAATGGCGTTGTTTCAAAAAGGTCATTTTGCTATTTGGACTTAAGCGCCTTGCTTATTCTGTCCTTTTATAAATCAATATTTAAAATACTAGATGCAGGAGGAAATCTATATAGGTTCAAAATCCAATCCAATACTGTAATATACACTACATAATACTGTAATATATACTAATGTAATAGATACAATATAATACTGTAATATTGGATTGGATTCACAGCTAGTGCAGGCAGAAGACAGTTTTTCAAAGACAGGGCATCGCTTGTGAGGCTTCACCATTTGCTGGGGGCTTCAGCTTTTAACACCTCTTAGTTGAGAACTCTTCCCCAAAACTGGGCGCAGCCTCCCATTTCTGGTCCACAGCTTGGTGGGAAGCCTTCCTCAGCTTATGCCACCTTGAAGCGTGTCGCAGAGTACATCACCTTCGCAGGTACCAGCACACAGGGCTGTGTTTCAGTTTGCTGTCTCTGGTCAGTTTTCCTATCGACCATTAAAAAGCAACCTAAATCTGGTATCTTTACCCCAGTCTATCTTGCCTCTACATGCATAAGGGTAAAATAAAGAAAAGATGTTACATAAAACAGAAGGTTAAGCTTCACCAGAGACTGCGCTTATGTTTGCTTTACCTATAACCCCAATTTCAAGGTGAGACAGGCTCCGCCCTGCTGGCAAAGGAGGTGTCCTTCTCCCTCTGCCTTTTCCTGCTCTTGGCTGAACGTTCTCACCCCACTCCCTTCGCCAAGCTCTGGTGCTCAGCTGACTCTGCTGAGCCAAGTCAGTTTGCCAGCCTAGTAGAGCCCCGCCAAAAACATTTTCTGCCGGGTTACCAAGTACTCTGCTTGACCACGTCTTTCAAAGTCAGCATGTCTGTTCCATCAGCCCAGCCCACCTCATCCAACAGCTCCCCAGCGTGCAGCAGGGAATCCCGCAGCTGCTTCGGCTGCAGTTGCCTGGCTGCTCCTTTGATAGTGGTGCCAATTTAGGCAGTCCCACCCTTTGGTTCCCACCCTGCACTGCCGCTTTGCAGAGCTGACACAACTGTTTGTGCAGCCGCAGCGCAACCAGGATCAAGGGGTGGCTTGAGCAGATGGCACGGGTGCACCTAACAGCCATGCTGGGGCCATGCACTGGCAGGAAGGAGAGCTTGGAGTGAAAGCTGGTTCAATCCAGCTGAAGGTGGCACTGCTAAACGGGAAACCACAGCTCACAGCAGTTCTCTTACTTCACACACCCTAAAGACCTTCAGCCCAGCTGTTGGATCTGCAGATTCGGGGAATTCACTAAACCTTTCTTGTGAACACTGTCCTCCCTCCTGCTCCCGAGCCAAGGCACCAAGAGGGGAACTCCAGACAACTCCTTTAAATCCTACGGTTTCCCTGTCCCACAGGATGACTTGTGTGTGAGTGTATCTGGCCCCATCCTCTTCACACTCAAACATCCCCTGAAGACCACACGCTCGCAGTTAATGCACCCCACCACCTCTGAACCAGATCCACTCCATGCATCTTCGTTCCTGTTGCAAGCTGGCATGGCTTTCTCTGTTCTGCCTGCCTCCCACTATAAACTCTTCAAAATAAGGTCTCAACCTTCATTTTTGCTTCATCTGACATGTTAATCAAGCACAGGGCTAAGCACATGCAGCTAATAATGATGCCTGAGCATCCTGAGGGCTGTGAAACAATAATGGCTTTTGACAATTAGTCAAAGCAATGAAATAAATTACAATGCCGTATTTATTTCTGAGAAGCATGCAGGAGAGGCTAGGGCTTAGCCCTTGGGGAAGGTCCGAGGGGAGAGGCAGTTTTGCCCCACAGATGCTATCTCTAGATTGTCTCTTTTTCTCCCTTACACTGAGCTCCATTTCCTCCTGTATTGACAAAACCTCTCCATTACAGCTAACTCGGGTAGAAGAATCAAAAGAAGCACAGATACTTTTACAGGCTATGTCACCAATACAGCAGCAAAAAGCTTAAAGTGTTTACTGGCAGGAAACTGGAAATAGCTATGTTATGTTAACTACACTTCTGATCTGAAGCTGTGTTATTCTTTATTACTGTCTGTAACACTGTCCTCTTTCAGAAATACAGGTACAGGAGCATGTGCAGTGCTTTTGAAAGAAATCCTGGAAGTTAATTGGCATAACAGAGAGACAGATTATTCCTGTCTCTCTTCTGCAGCAGCCAGAACAAAAGGCAGAGCTGGCTGTTGCATGAGATCTGGCCTTGGGCAGAAGTCCAAGCAAACATACAGTTTCTAGAAATCAGGATCCCGTGTAAATCTCTGCAGTTTATTATGCCAACTCACTACGTGCTGCTGCTCTCAGCTGGCAGTAATGCATGGGGACCAAAAGTCCTTGAAGTAGCTGGTTTCCAAACCATTTAAAGCTTTATCGATTGAAACTAAATACTTGAAAAATCCACCCAGAGCCTTTAGCCTAAGCACAATTCTACCACAAAAGTATCTCTGTATTTACGTGATACTTCATGATCCAAAGATTTTTCGTGCGTACACAGTTAAAGAAGTCACACATACACTGAAAAATTACTTTGCCTTTCTGCTTTGATGTAAATCAAGGACTGCATAGCTACTACTTCTACTTGAACAGCAACTACACTGAGAAGCTTTAAAATGGAGAGTCTCCTCCCTTTCCAACATAAACCAAAAGAGTCATCCACAATAAGAGTTCATACCTGTCTTTCAATAAATGCATTCATCCTCTGAAGCATTCCCTCACATGTAAATTCATAGGGCAAATAAGGGTCAATCTGTGGAAACACAGTGTGTTAAGGTTAGAAGTTTTTTTTGTTTAAATGAACTTTGTGGTGCGCTGTGTGGTGACAGCTTGCATACCAAATACTACATTATAGCTTAAGTAGCAACAATAAATGCGAGTAAACTCATTAACAAATCACAATTTCACAAAACCATCAGCAGTTTAAGCTGATTTTTGCTCCTTTGTAACGGCAATAAAAGTTGCTTAGTGATTATCTTTAAGGAAACTCAGGGTATACTGCAAAGTAAAAAATGTAAAGCTAGCCTGAGACCCTACGGGATTCCAGAGCTCCTGTTTTAACTAAGTTTCAGTTCTGGAGTTCAAGTGAAAAAGAAAACATTATTACCAAAACCAATGTGGTACTTTCACAAATTACTTCAAACTTTCCCCCCTTGAAGTGCCCCCATTACAATTCCACGCTGTAAGTGCACAAGCACTTCAGTGGCAGTTATGTCAAGGCTAAAAAATCAGTCAAAAAGAGTTGAGCGTGTATTTGTATTTGGACAGCCTGCAATGCTCTAAGAATCAACAAGGAAACTTCCTCACTGAATGCCCGGAAAATATAGATTGCTGTATAATTTACACATGAAATTCACATTGCTATACAAATTTACTCACGCTCATTTTTTCCAGATAAGAACCTGACAAATCCAGTACTAAAACACGATAATCAGATACCACAGAGATATAATAACAATCTTTTTTTTCCCCCAATATCTTACCAAAGTGCAGCACTCTTCTTTAATTAGACTAACATTAGGAAGAACCCTACATGCAGTACACAATACACCCTCAAGCGCCGATGACTAATTGAGGATAAATTTCTCACCTTTTGATTCAAAATTGATTTCACAGCCTTCTCAACTTCAGAAAGATCATTGATGTCTACAGTCCAGACATGGGGCTTCCCAATGTAAACTTCAGCATAGGGATGCTGAGATGTCAGCTGAAAGGAAGAAATGATATTGGTAAAAATTAACGTGTCAAGATATCCTTCCCTCTCACTCTTCATCATTTTTCGATGAAATGCACCAGGATAACGCAGGAATTCAGCTAGAATCTAACAGTCAGCGTCATCCCTTCTGAGTTATCTTTCAGATTTTCTATGTTTAAATTTAGAGAGTGAATTTAGTTGGAAAACTGAAAATCAGGTAACAATGCAGACCACAAGTAACATTTGCGCACCTCTCATTTGTGGCTTTGATCACCATAACGACCTACATCACGGAAGACTTGATGCTTACTGAAATTACTTTTACGAAGTGACCCTGCTTCCCCACAGCTCATTCACAGAGCAGCCCTGAGTTTTCACAACTCGTAATTGCTACCAGTCCTGGCTAGACCTCCATGACTGGCCTCAAGAGATGTCATCCTTGCCCTGTCTCACCTTCAGACAACATCCTCACCCTGCCTCTCATTCAAATTTCAAACATTTCCAAGCTTCTGTCAGTAGCAGCAAATAAAGAATCATTTCTATCACTTAGATGAATTCTGACTCTCGCTGCTGATAGTACAAGAGTGATTTGACCTCGGTAAGAGTGTTAGCTGGTATTTTGCTCACCACTTTGCCATAAAACAAATTCAATAAATACCCAAGCAGATAAATAAGAAAAGGCATATTAGAGATTACTTTCAGAACTAGCAGGATGGCACTAAAAGCATTTTTTGTGACAGGATGCACAGGAGTGAGAGGAACATGCAAATGAACACATAGAGGGAAGCAAAAGCTACAGAAGAGTGTTTCACAATGGCCCCAGAAGAATACTGCTTTTTAAATAAATACAAAAAAACCCTACAGGATAGATTGTTCATAGACACTTCTTACACAGCTGCCTCTTTATGCATGATACAAAGAAAAATCTAGTCAGTGCTAAAGATCTGAAGAAGGAGATGGTCTCTGCTGGAAAGAACCTTCTCCTGCACTGGGCATATACCATACTTGCTTTCTTCCCCAAGTGAACACAAGAAACTATTTGAAAGAATTTTTGCCTACTGCATTCTGCTTGTGGCCAAGAGAAGCCAGTCCTACAGTGACATCTGGGATTGGCCAGCACAAATCTGTGCCCTGAGACCAGTGCTCCAGGGGACTCTGCAGGCTCCCACCTTCGGTCGCAGGGCAGCGTGGTGGTGAGGGCTCGCAGACCGGCTGGAAGGCTGCAGCTGCTGGGCCCTAACTCCGGGTGCTTCTGCGCACAGACAGCTTCCGTAGGTGCCTACATTCACTTGTGGTTCAAATTCCTCCAAAATGTCCAATCCTTCTTGAAGACTGATACATTCTAACCTTTTTTCAATAGTATCTCTACTACCACTAAAATGATATGTACTTAAAAATTTGGGTTACTGAGTTCCCAGGGCACTTAGGTCTGGACTTTAGATGGCAGAAGCTACATTCCTATTGCTTTCAGTAATACAAACACCCTTCTATTGCACCTTTAAAAATATGAACATAAACCAGTCTTTTAAATTCCACAAAGCTTTAGGAATTATGCCATAGACCACTTTACCATCTCAGACAGACAGACGGCAACATTAAAGCCAGATCTGATCTGGGAGATGAACAACTAAACTTCTCAGACTAGTAGCTGTTTTAAGAGTAACTAGCAACATATTTTTATTGCACCATTTATTCTACAGCTATACTATTTCCTAATACTGAAATGCTTTAATTAGCTGAGGCTTAATGTTTTAGATATTCAGGAGATACTGCCCCTGTCTATAATTAAAATCTGTAAGAATTCTTATAAATATATTTAGAATTAATTTATAATTTCAGGGTTTTTTTTTTTCTTCCTTCCTAAAAGCAGAAAATGAAAGTAACCACACCCACCAAGTACATGTTTCAACTAGATTTAGCATACAATGTTTTCTTTCTTGGGGGGGAGGGG